AAACAGAAATCACAATGAATATTAGCTCACCAATAATGGGAGAAATTAATATGACCATCAGACAAATCAAGAGTGGGAAAGCAGCAGGACCAGATAGCATACCATCTGAATTACTGGAACCAGACATAGAAGTAACTGCTAAGATGCTCCAAATTTCGGAGGAAAAACAAGTACTGAGAGACTATTTATTCATTATTTATTTGAACACATAGATATTGGTACAAGAGTGCGTCAAATATATATGCGCCAAGCAAAACAATGAGAATTTAAAAACAAGGAAGAAAAGGTAAATAGCGTAAAGAAAGAGGATAGTAACAAACAGATTGATGTAAGATAGTGTAATAATAATAATAATGGTAGTAATAATGAGGGAACGGAAAGGTACAACCAGAAGAAAACTTTCAGTTAAGGAAGAAGCAACCACTTTTTACGAAGAAAGTAATAGGTTACAGCAGGATCGCCACTGGCTTCTATTCTGAGCCATATCTGATAACGCCTCTAGCCACTGTGTAGCACCATCTCTCGGACCCCGACCAGGGAGTCGTTAAGGACCGACACAAGCCAGTCATTTGCAGCTTTCTTTCATACCACGACACCATGTTATATACTGACCACCTCTCCGCTTTCTCCAACCAGCCTGAGTCGGCAAATAATGCACGACGTGGAATTCTCTGGGACGACATTCGTAGAACATGTCCAAGCCACCGAATTCGGTGTTTCAAGATGGTGACACCGATTGAATTATCATCTCTGTGCCCGAACACACGATGCCGAACCTCTGCATTACTAACATGGTGTTGCCAGTGGATGTCAGCAATCTTTCGGAGACAACGATGATCGAACACAGAAAGTCGTCTAACGTCCTCAACTCGGAGAGGCCAGGTTTCACAAGCATAGAGCAGAACTGCTCTCACCGACGCGTTGTAGATCCGACCTTTTACAGCCAGACTAACATCACGAAGGCGCCAAAGGTGGCCCAGATTGGCATAAGCCGCTGTGGCTTTCAATATACGTGCATTGATCTCATCAGTCACACCACCACCAGCACTCATACAGCTACCCAGATGCACGAACTTCTCGACTACTTCTATCTGCTCACCATCCAAGGTGATTACAGGATTAGAATCTTGCCAGCCTTGTAGAAGTACTTTGTACTTCAAAGGTGCAAAGCTCATACCATACCTACGGACATTGATTGACCACTGATTAAGTGCGGATTGCATGGCTTGGGCATTATCACGCTGTAAGACAATATCGTCCGCGTACTCAAGGTCGAGAAGTCTTTCTCCAGGCAACAGATCCACACCACCATTACTTACATTCATCAGAGCTGTTTTCAGAATGTCATCGATGACAAAGTTGAAGAGGAATGGTGAGGTTGGGCAACCCTGTCTAACCCCACTGCTTGGATGGAACAATGGAGAGAGGTGGTTGTATGCCCTCAATCTGCCTGAGGTGTTTGTATATAGGGCCTTTATGATGCTAATAAACTTCCCAGACACACCCTTCTCCAATAGACAATCCCAGAGAACAGTCCTGTCCAACGAATCGAATGCAGCCCTGATGTCAAGAGACACTAAGATTGTTGGCCTTTGATAAGTATGGCGGTGTTCTAACATTTGGCGGAGGGTGAAGATTTGATCAATACATCCTCGACCAGAACGAAACCCAGCCTGCTCCTCGCGACGTGAACCCTTTTTAAAGATAGGGACAACTATCGACTCATTCCATGACGTTGGTACACTCTCTAGTTCCCACACCTTTGTAAACAACGTCGTCAGTTCCTTAGTCAGAAAGTCACCACCATCTTTAAAAAGAGCCGGAGGTAAGTCATCTGGGCTAGGTGATTTGTAGCGCTTCAAGAGTTGGAGTTCCTTGCGGACTTCCGCCTCATTTGGTGAATCAGTCGTCACCGGCCATGGGGGGCAGGACAGTCTGACCGATGTTGCCGGAGCAGCAGGCCAGTTGAACTGCCCTTCGAAAAATTCTGCCCATTGTCCAAGACGTCGATGGATGTTAGTGATTGGCATCCCATCATCCTCTCAGATTGTCTCGCTCACACCACACTTCTTGCTGCCAGTGGCTCGGATGAATCGGAAGAGCTTCCGTTAATTACCAGATGCAGCTGCTGCTTCCGGCTCATTAGCACGCTCCGACCACCAGGCTTCTCGGTCCTTACGCAAGCTTTGCCCGATTTCACCATGTAACAACCTTCGTTTGTGGTCAAACTCACGGTCACCCGGAGAAGACCGATGGGCTTCAATGAGTTGTAAGGAGCCTAGAGAAACCCGGTGTTTATGTGCGGGACGTTTCGGGAACCCACAACTGGTTTTACTCGCCATTTTCATGGCGTCATGCAATTGCAACCAATGCTCATCTATACTTTTCGGTGGAATGGTAGCTAGCCTAGAAACTAGCTCTGTTCGATACTTACTAGCAACAGAAGTTGCAGCCAGCTTGCTAACATCAATGCGTTGGTGGCGGTCATTTCGTTGGCCACTGAAAAGTAAGGTAAGATTGGCGCAGACCAAGGCATGATCATATTCCAGATAGGTACTCCAGAAGAAGCGGCAGACTTGTACACAACCACGCCAGCGGCAGCTGAATTAAAGATTAAGCAGATTCCCCAACTTTTAGATCAATCATCGAAAAATCGCGACACTACAGACCATTATTGAATAATCATTTGAAAGGAACTCATCACTATAATTCAAATACCTTGACTATCAGAAAGTGTTTGGTAGAATGGATGGGATTCGTCACTACGTATCAACTTCCTTAAATATGAGAAAGCGTTCGATAGGGTGCATAGAAGAATCTTGTGAAACCATCTTTGACATTATAGTGTCCCTGAAAAGATCGTCAATATCATACAAGATTCTTACCACACATTACGCTGTGACGTCAAGTATAGAGGGCAACTAATATGTGCAAAACAAGTAAGGAGTGGTGTTAGACAAGGTCGCTTACTATCACCCTTTCTCTTTCTTCTGGTGGTTGGCTGGATTATGAAGACCTCAATATCTCAAGGGAAGCACAGAATACAAGACAGCTTAGACTCAGATAGATTATATGGACACAGTAACAAATGCAGCTGTAGATAGACAGTGTAGCAGCAGCTTCTACATCAGTAAACCACACGTAATGGAGCTGCTCTGTAACAGATGTAACTTTCACGTACCTGGACAGAATCAACGATGAACAAGAGGGATCTGATGCAGACGTGAATGCATGGATCTGAACAGCAAACACAGTATTCCTACAAGTGAACAACGTCTACAAATCAAAATAACTCTCAGCCAATAATCAGGTATTGTGTGGAGCTGAAACCACACAACTACCACATCCATCATCAGAAAGATACGGGTATTTATAGACATCTGTCTACACAACATGTTCCTGATCCGTTCACCGGATACCATCAGCAATAACCTATTGTGGGAGCGAACAAACTCGATTTCCATTCGAAGAGGAAATTAGGAAAAAACACTGGTTTCATTGACACAGTGTACTAGATAATGTTTCAGACTTAAAAGCGACTATAATGTACTTGTGTTTGCTAGTGCTATACTGTTCCAAGAAGATAAGTTTCAGATCCATTTATGCATCACTAGGAATGTAAATAATTTCATTATCAACGGGAATTATCTATATATCGAACTCTATTCTTCACTTCATCTCACGATATTCGTTGTTGTTATTCTACAAACATTGATAGGAATTAATTGTGTGAAACAATTTCCAGTCATCAGGTGTACGTAATTTTGAAACATACTCAGTAAAAAATGAATCAAGTTAGAAATCCTTTAGTAATCTGAAAATTTATCATCACTCTGAGATTCGATAGATGAAATAGACCAACCCAATATCTTTGGATCATCTAAAGGTCCCGAGACTTTTGAGAAAACATTCAGCTGTGTTGAATCACCACTTTATATTACTCGTCAATACTGAATACAATGAGCTAAACATTTATGTCTCCTCAAGTTATTACGCCTCTGTCGACTAGACATCATCAGCAATAATCTAGTCTGGCAGAGAACAAGCCAACTTTCAAATAGAAAGGGAACTAAGAAATAACACGAGATGAATAGGATACATACCGCAGAAATGATGAGATTGAGTCCCAAGACAAGTTTTAACTAGAAGTCCCCAAAGAACAAGAAAAAGAGAGACTAAAGATCACATAACACAGGGAATCGGGGGCAGTCATCAAAAAGATGAACAGCATTTCAAAACAACTGGAAAATAGTGCCCAGATGAGTCGGTTGGAGAATCCTGGTCTTCGGTCTACGCTCCATGACAGGTGACGGGCGTAAGTTATCAGATAATCAACTTCGTAAATCCACACAGTGGATTATTATTCCCATTGTGAGGAATATGTTTAGTTGTCTCCCTCGTGATGCCAATAGATGCAAATGGCAGCTAAGATGGTTACGCATTCGCGCAAACACACCTATTGCTGAGTAATAGGTTGTAAGTACATCAAGTTAGTTAGATTTACACATCAGCTTCGGTAAGAATCAAATTAATAAAAAAGGATACTGAAAATATATACCCTACTGAACTTAGATTAGTCTTGCTTTTATCATTCCACTAACCACTTCACATTAGTGATTAACTATTTGTTTAAACCTCATGATTGATTTGGTTTTTTATGCCATACACTGTACCAGTGACTCAGTCGATTAATTTAAGCAACTTGAATGTGGTGTAATATTTATGAGAATCTTACGAAATACTAATACATGAAAAGTTATCGAATATTTACTTTGTGCACAATTACACTTACATAACAGTATGGATAAATCAACGCAAACAATACAATGTAATGACAGATGTAAAGTAACAATAAGTTTACTAATAATTCGGTTTTCAGAAACTCTGATCGATAATACTAAAATCATCTGAATTTGAGTTTACTTATATTCACTTAAAGTGCTTGTAACAATTACCTATATGTTAACAAAACCACAATGAACACATAAAGCAACATCACTGATGAAAAAGCAAATTTTATGAATAAGAAGAATAATATTGCAATTTGTTAATAACAAAATTTTAATCTTGAGTTGTCAATGAACAAACAAAATATTTAACGATTAAGTGAATATCGGAAAATAAACTCCGAAATATTCCAACCGACACCATATTCATTCCAACATTCTCTCAAAAGTTCTTCATTTTGTGGGATATTTTCTGCAATCTTGCATCTACTTCTAAGTACATCCAATAAATGACTTCCACTCGGCATATACAACTCTGTATAAATCGTTTCCAGTATCTTCTTCCAATTCTTACTGTAATCAACATAGTGTTGTTCTCGAGTCCTACCATTCATTTTCAACTGCGGATAATCAAACAGTTCACTATTCGGCTCAAAAACACTCAAATAGGTGACCAATCGACCAAATATACTACTCATCTTGTCACTGACTGACGGTCGAGATGATTTCGTCAAATATTCACAGTCAGAGTGATAATAAAACGGATCACCGGATATTTGACGGTACAGCTTCCGCAACTCAATCAATTCATTCAAATCTTCGAAAAACACTATACACACAGATCGCACCATTCGACTGGCAATCTGATGTGCGATTCGTGTACGGATAAATCTAGCTGTCAAGTCCTCGAAACACTGACTGATATCTAGTTTCAGAGGACGCACCAAACCAACATTATTTATAGGTCTGATTGGATGTTCCAAATCACGATGCTTCGTCGCCATGTGAAACACATACAGTTTCGAGACCCAACTACCAGTAATACGCATCGCTTCAATTTTGTCACGTTCGTCTGTCAACCCATACCTATCCATTAGATCACTTCTCAGTATCGCACTTGCATAACTGTCTCTCAACAAACCACATGGAGCGAATCTGTTCTCCTGGAAATAATTAACAACAGCAGCAATCATCACTCGAATACATGCATCTGTCATTTCAACATCGATCACATCCATCAGTTCACAACTGCTAGCAACATTGTCAACGGTCCAACGGCCATAGTACCAGGCACCATCTTGACGATTCTCCACTACTCTGTCAGGTGCGGAGATATTTTCGACAGATGTCTCTCCATCAGAAGCAGATCGTTCATTTGAATCCGACGATTCAGGCACTTCTGCAAGTAGTCCAGCGAGAATCGCAGCACTGGCAGCATTCGCCAGCCATTTTCGAAGGGGTTTGGAAACCGACTCACCAACATTTTTGTAGACGTATGCAGAGGCCATTGCGGCAAACTTCACCCAGGCATTCTTAATAGGTATGGAATCGTCTGTGTTAGACCCAGGCATTATATACCTGTCAAGCATCAGCATGAATCGTGTGTCCAGATCAGATGAAGCAGTGAGAGACAACTCAAAATCGAAATCGCCATCTACATTTCGTAAACGATCAGACAAAATGTACCCTAAACCGTTAACCAAATTTGTTAGTGAGTTCTTCAAATCCTCAGTCTTCTCAACCATGTTCTACAAAGAAAGTTAGAAATTAAGAATATGAGGGTGTATATTATATTATGTTCAGATTGATAAGGCTTGTGAAATTTTTTTGATAATTTTTTACAAGATACTGAAAAATGGTGACTACTTAAAGTCTATAAATTACAGATACAACTAACGATTTGGTTAAAGGAAAAGTGTTAGGAATTTTCATTCAGTGAATTACTTTCTAATATTCATCACTACATCCATCTTCAAAGGAGGAATACATGTGGATGGGGAACTGTTATGTTCTTTATCATTTGAGTACCAAATATAGCATGAGAATTTCATCTATCATGCAGGCATATGTTATGATTACCATTCTATATCAAATATCGAGACAAAATCCCTTCTCATTCTACAAATCATCACTATAATCGGTCGTTGATAAATGACTGCAGACAATTTGGACTGATCCTATGCAGATATGTGACATTTTACGGTAGACTCAATATTAATTTAAACACCCAGGTTAGGTCACAAGAAAGACGTGATTCAGTGAAGAAATTCTTCACAACCAACTCATTTTTAAAACATGACAATACCGTATATGTGTAATGAATCTCAAATTTGCCAGGAAATTAGATATTCTTTTACCAAAGCTTATGATCAAATGACAGTGTCGTAGCCTTACATACACAACGTACATATGTCAACTGACATTGACTGGTTAACAACAACGACAGGAAATCACAAACCATCATTCTGTCACACTTTTAATCGAATAAAATAGGAAACCTGCTTTTCACTAAATATCCCATTCGAAATTTGTAGGTGCTTTAAAATATTAGCCGAACTAGAGGTCATAAATTAGTTACATAGTTCTCGTTAAATATTCAGACTAGGTAATTCAGTAGATATAAGAGATGACTGGGCACTGGAAATCACCATCAAGCCATAACTTAAAAACAAATCTGACGACGCGAAAAAGGTGAGGGGAATCAAAAAGGAGACATTTTGGAGCATTTTCACATTGTTCACCCCTAATTTTCTAACGGGATGTTCCCATCATCTCTTTTTGATTGCTTGCAAGCAACGCCCCATGGGGCGTTGTACATGATTCTAAAACACACCAGACTTGTCATTTCCCCATAGATAAATCATTTTAGTGTTTCGGATCCGTGAAAGAACTTATTAAAGATCTGAAAATATGCAAAGCAAATAACGATATTGCGAAACTAATCCTAACGTTGAAAACCGAAACGGCGACAAAACTATGCCTTACCGACAACCTTCGGCAAACGACGGGTGGCCTTCAGATTAGCTAATTAGAATGCAACCTTCAGATTTCATTAATAAAGACAGAAGGCCTACAGACTGTGTTATTCATTTGATGATATAATACTGTGAAAGTCTAGTCTTTTCGTGAATGAGTCAACTGAAAGTACGGAGTCCACTTCTTCGGGTAAGCGGTTCCAAAACCTGATCACTTGGTGTGTAAATCTGTATGCCATGAGTATTTTGTTCGTTGATGGTTTTTCTACTCACCTGCTATGTGCTCTGTTATTTCTCGATCTAGTGGATAGAGAAAGGAAGATATATTAGGTGTAAAATCATCGCTTAGTATTCTGCACATCAAAATCAGATCACCTCTTAATCTGCGGTATGACAGAATAAAGAGATCTAGCATTTTGTGACTCGTGCTCAGATCCAAGGTCGACCGAACGAATGAATGGTATTGAAATATACATATTGCTAATCCTCGTATATAGTCATCGACATAAATCGCGTTAGTGAATGACGGAATTTAAATAAGCCAAATGCGAGAATTGATTTATAACACGTATATTTCATGCACTCATTATTGATTTGAACAGACATTCAAGGAGACGAAACAAAGAGGAAACGGCGAAGCAGAATTGAGAAGGAAAGCGAGTTAACTAGATTTAAACAAGCGTTTATCGATGTTTATAATCATACCAAAATAAGCTACAAACATGTGATGAGTAGAATAATATGTACGTACACACGTTCATATAAAAAGTCAGTGTTGATATGGGAATAATTAACCAAGTCAAAGCGTGACTCAAGAAGAATGAATGGATCGGTCTGTTCAGAGACTAGAGTAAGCTCAAACAGACGCTCACTGAATCTTGGTGTATTTCATTCGCGTGACGATATATTCCACGCTTGATTCGAGAATTTTCCTCAAATGACTAGACCACTCAAGCAGATACCATCGGTGACCAACCGTGTGGTACACCATATAGTCACGCGCGGATCCTCAGTCACGGCAAGAGCTCTCCGGCTGGCACCGGACAAGTAAGCTCTCGCTAAACGTGAGTTTGACAATTTACTAGCGACTAGTATTATTCATCCTTCTCACAGTACCCGGGGCTCACCTCTTCACATGGTGCGCAAAAAGGATGGAGTTAGTTGGAGACCATGAGGCGACTACCGAGCACTAAACGTAGTTACACGTTTTGATAGCTATCCCATCCCACACACACAGGACGTCACGGCATCGCTCAAGGGAACGACTATCTTTTCTAACATCGATCTGGTACGAGCATATCACAAGATCCCAGTCGCTCTTGCCGGCATCGAGAAAATCACTACCACGACTTCTTTCGGTCTGTTTGAGTTCCATTTAGATTAAGGAATGCTGCTCAAACTTTCCAAAGTTTTATCGATAGCATAGTACGGGACTTAGATTTTGTTCATGCCTATATTGATGAGCTGATAATCTCATCATCAAGCGTAGATGAACATTATCAACATCTCACACTGTTGTTCCAACGTCTCTCGGATAATGGAATAGTAGTCAACCCGGACAAGTGCGAATTAAACAAACCAAAAATAATGATCTTGGGTCACATCATTAAGCAAGAGGGTATTTTACCTTGTGAGAACAAAGTACATGCAATAATAGAGTACAACGTGCCGTCCACATTCAAGGAACTGAAGGCATTTCTCGGTTTGGTTAACTTCTACCGACGTTTCGTCCCACACGCGGCTGAACCGTTACGACCGTTAGTCGATTTACTTCGCGGTAATCCACGCAAATTAGAGTTGAAATATGTGGCAATTACTGCATTTTCAGTGATCAATACGGCTCTGACTCAAGTCAAACTCCTCGCTCATCCTAACCCATCATCCACGCCTAGTATAGCGGTTGATGCACAGGAGCCGTTATGCATCAAACATCTACGGTAGTTGGCAACCTCTGCAATTTTTCTCACCACGCCCTACACCCACGGAGTAAAGATATGGCGCTTTTGGTCGCGAACTGCTAGCAGCCTACTGTGCCATCAAACATTTCCGACACGCAGAAGGAGGTCACGATTTCGTCTTATTTACTGACCGTAAGCCTTTAACGTACACTCTACATACTAAGTCTAACCACTACTCACCAAGAAATTGCAGACATTTGGACCATATCTCTCAGTTCATGACAGACCTTCGTCACGTTAAAGGCGAGTCGAAATTGTTGCTGATGCTCTGTCACGTGTCCAAGTGAATGCGGTTACTTAAACGGTGCTTGATCTTCATGCTATGGCTGCCGCCCAAATAAGCGATCCCTCCCATACAGAAGCACAGCATTCCACAGCCCTTCAGTGCTAGGAAGTACCCATGTCTACTCGCACAGATACAATTCAATGTGATACATCTACTGGTCTTCCACCGACTCATCGTTTCCCCTGCCTACCACCGTCTCGTCTTCGATGCTCTGCATGGACTGCCTCATCCAGGTATCACAGCCACATTACACCTCGTCGCTGCACAATTGGTCTGACCGTCCATGGATAAAGATGTCCGTACAAGGGTAAAGTAATGCCTACAGTTTTAACGGTCAAAAGTGCACAGGCGCGTAGCTGCCCCCATTGGCACGTTCGCTACACCTGATGCCTGCTTCAATCACGTTCATATAGACATTGTGGAACTGTAGTGGCATTGAACAATAACCGCACAATCCACAAAGCTGAACACGAGATCACTCAGAAAATAGATATTCAATACTTAACGGGGATAAATACCTAACGATGGAAAAGGCGCGAACAAGGAATTGAATGGACTGGATTTGATCTGATGGCATGGCTCGTCCATGCAGGCGTGGTCCATCTCAATGTTACTTTATATCTTCTATTCATATTAAATATATTGTTCCTTCTCTAGCCTAACCTTGTTCCTCATCATGTATTGGTAATTGATACGATACAGTGAGTTGGTGTAGTCGATGGTGTGACTTCCACGTAAGATCTTATAGATTAGGCAGTTATATCATGACAAATCTACAAATTTAGGATTAGGTCTATTATTAGAGCAGTACTAATATCATAGTAGACCATAATTCTACAGAACCATTCCCACCATCTCATGGGTATGATCACATAGTCAAGTGCATCGGTCGTTTCACAAGATGTCCCGAAGCTATACCCATCACGTCTAGTTGCTCACCGCTTCATAAACCGATGGATAGCGCCGTACGGTTATTCCTCGACTGTCACGACTGACCGAGGACAACACTTCGAATCCGCATTATTCTCCTCACTGTTTCTGCTGCCTGGTACGGAACGCATACGCCCTACCGCCCACCACCCAGCATCAAATAGTTTAGTTGAGCGGTTTCATCGCCAACTTAAAAGTGCTCTTCGAGCACACGAAAACAACCATTGGTACTAAACATTACCGCTCGTACTTTAAGGTATCAGAACGAGCTTGAATGCAGATATTCGATGTTCCGCCGCTGAACTTGTACACGGCACAACATTGCGTCTGCCTGGGAAATCTTTCACACCATGGAGCAGTAAAACTTTTGGTAGATCAGACTGCGTCCAAAGATTTTCCGAATTTATGCGAACGCTGCCTCCAGTGTCAACTCGAATACAACACCGACAGGTCGCTCTCCCTTGAGAGTTATCTACCCGCTCACGTGTTTTCATACATGTAGATTCGGTATGCACACCACAGCGAAAGCCTTACGAAGGACCTTTCCAAGTGATTTCCCGTTACGAAAAGATCTTCAAGGTTGATCGGCACGCCTGTGTCGAGATAGTCGGCATTGATAGTCTCAAGCCAGCATACGTCGATGACAGTGTTCTACCTGATAACTTGAGACCCATGGCTAGACCCATCAAACGTACTAGCAGGACCCCCACATCCACTTCAGATCCCACGCTAGATACATCAGAGACTTCATTCTAACGTCTCGGTCAACAGCGCGTGTCAAATGCACCATCTACGAACGAGACTACTGTCTCACATACCGGTCGCCGAGCACGCCTGCCCGTGCGCTTTCGTGACCAATCGCGCAATCAACAACGGATACCATATGCATGCTACACCTTTCTCCTTTTCTTTGGTTTTTTGTATCCTGAGCCCACGCCTCCGACCATCAAACATCTGGTACCATCGACTTCATTCAATTTTGGCGAAAGCTGGCCTGATCACCCACGCTCTTCCCAACGCACTCAGTCGATGTTCTGACCCCAAATATGCCTGACATACGTTTGGTCTCGCAGTTGGTTGTTATGGTCACTTCTGGCTTCTTGGCTCAACGTGGTCCTGTCCTACGTCTGCAGAATTTTTTGGTTCGGACCCTTACGAACGCAATCCTCAGATCCTGAATGCAAACCACTCTGATGTGATACGCTAACTCGAGCAACAAATACAGCAAGTTTCTACTGATACCGTTCTGCGTAAAAGACCCTCGGTGGAAACTCCAGGATCAACGATTGTCTCCTGTTTGTCAACACTTTCGTCCCAGAATCGCACGTCTTCAGACCAGTCTCATGAACGAAATCGCTACGTATTGATAGTGTAAACCCTTTATAGCGGAAGGCTCCCGTAGTGACCTACTTTTATGAAGAGAACCGGATTGATATAATGAAAATAATAATTATTATTATAACCAATTTTACCAGGGATGGTCTTACCCTACTTGTTTGTTTAACTGTACCAAAAACATGTATTCTTTCGTTGATTGCGACCTCTTACGATCTCGGTTACGCTCAGTAGTTCTACTTGTACTCTTTGCCACGATCTCGGTATTCTTTCGATACCACGAGGTCGCCAACAAATACATCACAAATACAGTCATCAGCTGCCTCCTGATATTCAGCCTACGGGGTGATCTAACCTAGTAACTGGCACGTGGTCTTCCCGTAGTGGTGATTGGAGTCAATCACGACTCGACGCTAACTACAAGTTCTCCCTACGGTCGTGTATACAGTAGTGAACATAGTAGTATCTAGCTTGGTGAGTATCTATATTAAATTCGACAGGATTCTAACCCA